CCAAGACCAGAACCAATGCAGCAACCTTCCTTTTCACCCATTCAGTGAATGACCATGAAAGTGAAATGCCTTCTTTTCCACAAAAGCAGAGTGAAGCTGTGGTGACAGAAGTAAATCTTACTTATAAAAACACTATGCTTCAAGCTCATTAAGGATTAAACAGGCTTATCATCTGGTCTAGCAGTTACACTTCCCTTTATGATACTATGTGCATGAAAAAGTGCTTCCACACTAGCGCTCTCTGGGCAAATCAGCCCATATTAGGTTTACACTTTCTTCCAAAAAGCACTTTATCCTGAAGCACAGTATTCATCTGTGCCCCAGACAGGTATTTTTTCCCCATGTATAACTATATGAGGAAAGACACCTATTTGTTGACTGAAATTCAGCCAAATGTAATCATTCAGCATGGCTTGGACAGATATTAAACTCAAATTACAGGCTCAGTAAATACACATATATTGTTTTTACTTTTAGTTGGGCTAGTAGACAACAGAAACCAACTTGATAACTAGAGTATACCTACTCCTAATTAGACTAAAGTAGGGAGTTAAACCCAGTGGGAGTTACTCACATGGTTTATGTATGGAATACACAGAGTGTGAGGAAGAAGGAGACTTTAGATGACTGCAAACATCAGAATATAGGTGGGGTGAGTGCTAGCACCAAGAGAGATCTGCTTGAGGAGTAAGTACTGTGGCTGTGATGAGAACCTTGCTTACTGGCTCCAAGCCTACTCCCATCTTCGCAATCCCACCCATCTTCCTCCATTTACATATACGAGCGAAAAACTGCAGAGAGCAAAATATAAGAGTGATAACATCAAGAGAGGAGAATGAAGGAGAAAAAAATCAGATCCTTTAAAAATGTATATAACATTGTAGAAATTTCAAAGCAGTTAGCATGTCTCAGAAAATATTCAGACCCAGCCTGGAAATCTAGCTCCACCATAAAGGGGAACTTTCATAAGTTACCTAACTTCTGTAAGCCTCAGTTCCCTCATATTTAAGATAAGGATAATAATACTACCCTAACTTACGAAAGATTCTTTTAAGTGTTACATATGCCTGGCACATGAAATGCCCCCAAATAACATTTGATAAATAAATGACATCAAATATTAGCTATTTAGAAAATCTGTTAAACTTTTTTTTTTTTTTTTTTTTACAAACAGCAATGTCTCAGTTGAACACTGGGCGAGGCATTCCTTAATTTGGTAGGCATTGGGGAGTGCTGCAGATCAGCAGGGGATGTGAAACAATTAGTTACATTTTGGGAAGCTTATATTATAATGGCAGTGGCGACTAATAAGAACTAAAACTGAAAAACAAAAACTTGAAAAGCAGTTACCGGAACCAAATTTTCTATAAAGTAATGGATCATAGTAATAAAAAAATCATTTTTTCACCCCTAGAATTACATTTCACTTCTTCTTCTTTTTTTTTTTTTTTTTTTTGAGACAGAATCTCACTATGTCGCCCAGGCTGGAGTGCAGTGGCCGGATCTCAGTTCACTGAACTCCGCCTCCCGGGTTCAAGCCATTCTCCTGCCTCAGCCTCCCGAGTAGCTGGGACTACAGGCGCCCGCCACCTCGCCCGGCTAGTTTTTTGTATTTTTTAGTAGAGACGGGGTTTCACCCGGTTAGCCAGGATGGTCTCGATCTGCTGACCTCGTGATCCGCCCGTCTCGGCCTCCCAAAGTGCTGGGATTACAGGCTTGAGCCACAGCGCCCGGCCGCACTTCATTTTTTTATGACTAGTCAAGTGAAGGAATAGGAGTGGAGAAGGAACAAAGAAATCCGTAACTGGTTGTGATCAATTAGTTGTAAGCACCATTGCATTCGGACCAGCCATATTTCACTTCATTTTAACCACAAATAATGAATTCTAATATCTATTTTTCCATAATGCATTGCTTGTTCTCTGGATTATAGAACTCTCAGCAGTAATTTATCAATGTCCTTTCTTGATTCTTTAGCACTCACTTACGACAATTAATACAAAACCTTCAAATCTCCTTGCCTTTCTACACTACAGGTAACACTGGCTATTTTCCAAGTGGCAAATGAGACATGTAAAGTGCTTAGCAGAAGGCCTGGCACATGTTACAAGCTAAAAGTTAAATACTGACTTTCATTGTTATTAAGATTACAGGGGCACAAGGCCGGGCGTGGTGGCTTAGGCCTGTAATCCCAACATTTTAGGAGGCCGAGGCAGGTGGATCACAACGTCAGGAGATTGAGACCATTCTGGCTAACACGGTGAAACTCTGTCTCTACTAAAAATACAAAAAATTAGCCAGGCGTGGTGGCGGGTGCCTGTAGTCCCAGCTACTCGGGAGGCTGAGGCAGAAGAATGGCGTGAACCCGGGACGTGGAGCTCGCAGTGAGCCGAGATCTCGCCGCGCCACTGCACTTCATCCAGCCTGGGCAACAGAGCGGGACTCCGTCTCAAAACAAACAAACAAACAAAAACAAAAAACCAAAAAAAGATTACAGGGGCACAAAATGGGTACTCAATAAATATTTTAATGAGTAAATAAACATAAGTAAAACAAGTTACCCTTATTTACAGCAAAACACAGAGATATAATTTATCATTTAAGAGAAGCAACCAGAGTTGTACATGTGCTCCAGAAATTGCTAACATTCAGCTTTCAATTCTTTAGGACAGATCCAGAAAATGTGACCTGCCTACAGAGGGAAAAGAGAGAAACAGCACCTGCCTGGGAGCAATGAGTCCTACTTAGAGTCCTGAGAGCCAAAGACAATGCAGACAGCTCTGGGCAAGTCACCTGGTCTAGATCTCAGCTCCCTTTCCCGTAAAATGAAAATCCTTCCATTTCTCTGATTCCATGCAGAAAAGAGAAGATATAAAAGGGTTACCTAATGCAGTATTTCACAAGCTTCAATCTTGATCATCTTTTCATTTTTGCCATATCCACATAACACCTTTATTGTTTCTCTTTAAATTGACTTGCATAATGATGGCTCACTGCAGCCTTGACCTTCCGGGTTCAAGCAATCCTCCTACCTCAGCCTCCAGCATAGCTGGGACTAAAGGCGCATGCCCCCATACCCAGTTAGTTTTAAAATTTTTGGTAGAGATAGGGTCTCGCTATGTTGACCAAGCTGATCTCAAAGTCCTGGGCTCAAGTGATCCTCCTGCCTCTGCCTCCCAAAGTGCTGGGATTACAGGTGTGAGCTACTGCACCTGGCCTTAATTTACTTAAAAATTTAACCTCACTTTAAGTAATAAAACCGTTAAAAGTATTTTATGGTTTTAGTTAATTTTTCTAATGTGTCTAAAGATAAATTACCAAACTTTAAATATTCACTCAAAGATTACCTAAATTCATCTAACATACCCAAACTTTGGCAAATGGTAACCTAATTTTTATAACTGAAAATAAAAAAAAAATTTTACTTTCCCATACTATAGCAACATAAGAAAATCAAAAAATTTAAAGGACAGAGAATTGAGTAGAAAAGAAATAGAATTTCATATTCCCACAATAATGTAAGGGTTAATTCAAACTAATTAATATTCAGTTATTTTATATGTAAGAATATTTTTTAAATAATGTGAGGCAACAAAAATTGAAAACAGAACTGATTCCTTCTTAACCTAGGTAATCTTCATCTGAATTAGGATTTTATTTCCTTTAACTTTAAAAGACTTTCATTTCACCCTTGAGTATCTAAATTCAGATTAAAATAAGAAAAGCAATTAGTTTCTTCTTTCTTAAGACCATAAAAAGAAAACAGAGATCAAAATTAAGTGCCACGTTTATTAGCAATGGAAGTGCTCTTATAAACTTATGCTCTCTTTGCCTTGATCAATGCATGAGAAAATAAATGTACCTACTTCTTAACTTGGAATTCAGAGAGCAGTAGGTATTTGTGTGACAAGTTTTACTAGTCAATAAAGTTTCCCTGATCTAAATGACTCCAACTGTACTTTACAACCAAATCCATCAATAATCAGTGAATAAGCACATGCTTGTACCTGGGCTGACATTTCCTTTCAACGTGGTGGCCAGAATACGTAACTGAGGACTACTGCTCTCTTTAGGAAATCTTGTGTGTGTGTGTGTGTGTATGTGTACACATTTAGTTTTATTGTAACAAAGCAACTTGTACACTTTGAATGTTTAAAACTGAGCATCATCTTTCCTTTCCAGTGAAACAAAAAGAAAATTTAAAAATAAACAGGAACAAAATTACAATAAAGAATGTCAATTCCAAATAAGATCCTACAGGTTCTGCTGATTCTCCCATTGAGTGGCAGGGCTCAAGTCATCATTAGGAGAGAATTTATTTTTTAAAATGTCATCTTAAACTGCAAGGATGTCTGTCAAATATCACAATTAAACATGCCAAAGGAGAAGCCATGTTGTCAAAATGCCCACTTAACCCACCCAAACATCTCAAATCCACCCTTTGCTGACCTTCTATAACCCCATTTTTTAAAGTTTTTTTTTCTTTTTTTAAACAAGAGAAAGTAGACACATACACGTTGGTAAATGCTAACTGTCCACATTCATATCAAGACACAGTGTACTCTCTGAGCCCAACATACAGAGAAGGAGGAAAAAAGCTAGAATTCTTTTTTTTTTTTTTTTTTTTTTTTTTGAGACAAAGTCTGGCTCTGTCGCCCAGGCTGGAGTGCAGTGGCCGGATCTCAGCTCGCTGCAACCTCCGCCTCCCAGGTTCACACCATTCTCCTGCTTCAGCCTCTCGAGTAGCTGGGACTACAGGGGCCCGCCACCACACCTGGCTAATTTTTTGTATTTTTAGTAGGGACGGGGGTTTCACCGTGTTTGCCAGGATGGTCTTGATCTCCTGACCTTGTGATCCGCCTGCCTCGGCCTCCCAAAGTGCTGGGATTAAAGGTGTAAGCCACCGCGCCCGGCCAAAAAGCTAGAATTCTATGCACTACTACACAGGGGCCTAGCACCCTCCAGCTTCCAGCAGAGCGAAGGGAGCAGGGTTTTCTTTCTTCCCACAGAGCTCGGTGGTGTTGATTCCACACAGTTTTTGTTCAGACAGGAAGGGATAAAAATGAACTTCGAACAGAAAGAGGTAGAGACTCTTTTCCCATTGTATTCTGCTCAAGGTATTTCCCCCCAAATAAGTTGAGAACCATGGAGTACAGAAAAGAGACCTCAAGAACTGGGCGACTGAGCACAAGTTGAAAAAAAAAAAGAAAAGACTGCAACTTGCTCCCAGGGACTGGAGAAAATTTAAAAAAAGGAAGGTTGGAATCCATCAGTGTTCTATTAGTCATCTTCTCCTTCATCCTTCTCTCCTTCCTCCCCTTCATCATCATCTTCATCTTCTTCACCTTCATCCTCATCCCCTTCCTCATCAGTATCTTCTAATCCTTCCTCCTCTTCATCATCATCATCATCGTCTCCTTCTCCTTCTTCATCATCCATATCAGGAACCAAGTAGTACTGTAATGGGTTTGGCCAAATATCATCTTTGATGACCTCTCCTAACTCATCGGCACCTGCATCAGAATGGTCAGTAAACCAAGTAAAGAAGCTCTCTGGTTCCTCATGCTGCCTCTTCCTGCTGGCTTTATTCTGCATTTGACTTGAACATTTCGTCAAATCCTTTCCAGATTTCCATTTGATTTCGGTGGACTTTGAAGATGGACCACCACTCTCATTCAGATGAAATTCTTTGGAGAGAACTTTATTTTCAAAGTAAAGATTTTCATCAAAATAAAAATCTATTCTGTAACCTGATTTAATATCTTCAAATTCTGTCACTTCAACTCTGGTCAAATAATGCAGTGCCTCTTCGTCTTCCTCCCCAAGCAGTGCAGACACTTGTGGATGGTTGACAAATGTTACCCAAAAATTTAGGATTTTGGTGATCAACTCTGACCTCTTTCGAAAAAATGGTTGGTGGAGTTTGTTATATTTCTGTTCTACTTTCAAAATCTCCTCACTGGCTTGTTCATTAAGTCTGTCTATCTCATTTTGTACTTCATCAATGTGTTCAATTGCTCTTGCTGTTCTATTTCTCCCTTCTTTGGCAAGCCTGCAGAGGCCGATGTCTCCTCCGGTCCCAAAGCATGTAGTGGTCTTGGTTTCTTCTTTTGAGGCAGGAGTGGAGACTGGCGTTTAGGAGCCATGCTGTTAGGCAAGTCCAAGAACCAGACCATGAGTCTCCTCGCCCGTCTGGAAGCAGGCTGAACACTGAGTCTTTAGGAAATCTTAGCAATCAAAAACACATTGGCATAAATCAAATTAAAAATGATCCTTTGAACAATACTGAACACAAGGACAACTTTTTGATGTGTTAATAATAATGTCTAATGTGACTAATGATCATCAGCTAAATCTCACTAGGTTATTTTAAAGCAGAAGTAACAAACCCTGGCATAAATCTAAATTTGCCAACCTTTGATAGGTATCAACTAGCTGACTAAAGAACAAGTAGGACAAATAATGTGTATCTATAAATATTCACATTACTTTATCCTTATGACATGATCCTTACAATTTTTCATAGCAAAGTTCCTCAGGGCCATCTCTACAGGCCTTCTTTCTTTCCCATCAAATCTCACAGGCATGGGCATTTTTGCTGTATTAAGTATAGCAAACCAGAGAAAAAACAAATATCTATTAAAGTATAATAAGGTAGAGGGGATACATTTTAAAAGGTCATGAAAGGTTACAAATGAGAACTGAACACTCCTAAAACGCCAGCTTTTTGAAAACATAATTTATATCTGATTCATCATTCCTGCTCTCATAGCTCCTGTCTTACAAATAGTATGCACTCAAAAACTATTTGTTGAACTAATAAATAGACCAAATAATAAAATTTAGTACCTTCACAGCAATGAATTATCAGTAAATAGAAAAGGCCAGAAGAAAATTTGAAAATTAATTCCTCAATTACCTTGTTAAAACGTCTATACTATGAAAGCTTTTCAAAGTCAGAAACCTGCTCTACCACTGGCCATATTTCTCCTGATATGTAACCACAGAACCAAGAAATTCATTCTAATTAAATGAACAGCTTTAATAAAGTCAGGCTTTATTTAACTGGCTAAAGCCAAACACCTTACCTGCAGATAATGTGCTTTTAGACTAATTTATTTACAAAAAACTGATTTCATAAAACATGATATAAACTAGTGATTGGGAAACAGGAAATGACCATTAATTAACAGGTTCAAATTAAGCATATAGGTATAATCATAGCTATTATTCAATGCTTAAAAATACTCTTTGATGACAGTACTGGTTAAGCTTATTCACAAAGTATTTTGAACAGTTCACCTCATGGAGATCTTTCTCAATTTTTCATGGTGTACTGTGCCATGTGCAGTATATGCTAGATAATGAAAGTATCAATCTCCTAAAAGCCTTTCCTGACATTCAAGGGAAACAACAGTTGCAGCAGCAGCAGCAACAGCATGGGTTAGGCCCTTGTGCTAAGAACTTTACAAATGTTATTTCATTCAATCTTTACTACAACCCTGTAGGGTATTATTATCCTTATTACATGGGTGAGGAAACAGACAAGAGAGGATAAGTGACCAAGTAGCTGGGTTGGTATTCACCCCAGGCAGTCTGACTTCAGGGTTCATACTCCAAAGTCTCTCTCTATATATTATGGATCCTTAAAATGATCAATATGGTCAGAAACCCATTTGAACTAGAAATAGGCTAAATAGTTACCCCCTTTGTAAGTATTATGACCAAGCAACTAAATGCCTCTCCCCATTCACAACTCCTACATAATTAATACCTTGAAACACCATAGTTGCTCATGCTATTTGAAAAACTTCTGAAGGCACTTTTCCTATATTTAGTCACTATAACTCAAAACTTCATACTTACGGGTTATTCTGCTAGTTCTACAAGTTCCAATGCCTTAAATCTCGATTCAGGGGAAATAATATTATAGCCACTCTCATTCCAAACAGCCAAATCTTTGTTTTTGTTTACTGCTAAGATGATCTGCACAAACCCTTTACAACATATAAAAAGGCAGAGTAACAATCCAAGTCGAATGCACATAGAGATACATTCTGATTGGTCATCTAATCAGAGCTCTAAAAGATGTTCATTTTCTTCGGAAAAAAAAAAAAAAAAAAAAAAACTTTAAACAAACATATAAAGGATCCCACTCTAGGAAAAAGGAAAAGCATAAGAGGAGGCAATGAGAGCAATTTAGAGTACTAGATGCAACCAAAGACCTAAAAGGTAAACCTGAGATATACCCTAAATATGTGTACTACTGTAACCTCATTGATGTTGTTAGGATCTCTTGGGTCGCTTCAACATACAATGTTGTTCGCCATCCCTCAAAGGACTAACACACATAAATATTCTAAGAAGAGACTACAATCATCAAGTATAAGCTAGTCTTTATAAAAAGTAATGTTCACGGGCTGGGTAGGGTGGCTCACGCCTGTAATCCCAGCACTTTGGGAGGCCGAGGTGGGTGAATCACGAGATCAGGAGTTTGAGACCAGCCTGGTCAACATCGTGAAACCCCGTCTCTACTAAAAATACAAAAATTAGCCGGGTGTGGTGGCACGCACCTATAATCCCAGCTACTCGGGAGGCCGAGGCAGGAGAATTGCTTGAACTCAGGAGGCGGAGGTTGCAGTGAGCCAAGATCGTGCCACTGCACTCCAGCCTGGGCGACTGAGCAAGACTTCATCTCAAAAAGAAAAAAAAAAGTAATGTTCACTCAAAACCAAGTTCATAAAGCACCTTCACATATAACATTTCATTGACCATTCACTATCCCCATTCATCTACCAGTTTGAGGGCAATCGTTATCCTCATTTTACAGATGAGTAGTGAAGGGGCTTACCTAAATTCAAACACTTTGTGACTGGTGGAGCCTCCAACTCAAATCACATGACATCAAATCCCAAGCACTTTCCACACCACATTGCGCCTCCTCATTCCACATCAAAAAGTCACAAAACTATCCTGTCTGCCTAATCTGCACTGGTCTATTACCAATACTGTAAGAACAATTGTCTGTTATTAATGACACCACGTGTTACGAATACAAAAGAGAAACAAAACAAACTCAGTATTTTCTCTGACAGGCCTGGCACTCTGTTCAGCACCCAACCTATACCTTGACTAACATAGTTCTCACAAGCCCCTCAGGTAGGTGCCGATATTCCAACTGTATACCTCAGAAAACACATTCAGAGAGGCTTAGAAACTTGACTAAGGTCACAGAATAAACAAATGACACAGCGATGATGTTAGCCACACGTCTGCTATACCACACTGCCTAACACAGTATCACAGCGATGCCTTTTTCTGGTCATCAACAAGAAAAATCAAGTACTTTTTAGGTTAAAATATCTTAACGTGTCAAATAACCATTTCTCCACTTGTTGCTGTCATAATTTCACTTCCAAGCACAGCACCTTTTCTTCTTCCTGATTTTCTCTGGTTTACTCAATATCTGCTGGCCTCACTGTGCCCTGGAACAGGGGATACTGTTGGAACAGAAAAGTGATGTATTATTAACTAATAGTACTTTACCCAGCCACAGGAATCATGCAAATATTATTTCTGCTCTGGGTCTAAGTTAATTCTGTCAAGTAGTATGTGTCAGTTACCAGAAATGTGAGCCTGCCCAAACAATTATGAAATGAAAACAATGAACAATCTATCATTTTAATCACAGCTCTCTAAGGGCTTTCCAATCCAGACAAGACACAAGAACAACAAAATGCATAAAAGTAATCTCATTACCATCCCAGAGTCTGGCATCCCACCACATTACAACATTGGGGATACATAGCATTAGCCTCAGAATACTGTGCTCCTCCCGCTCAGGTGTTGACTGCTAATGAGAGACAAAGATAGATAAGAAAAAAAAATATAAACATGACACTAGTTTTAAACTTGGGAAAATTATCGAAGGACTTCCCAGAACAAAATGTAATTAGCTTTAACAAGTTAAGGTATATTAGGACTTCCAAAGGGGGCTTCCTTATCTGAAGCAAACAGGAGGAACTTTCTGTTAACACAGCTGTATACTCATAATGGAAGGTAAATAGCTAAAAAGGCTTTAAACAAAAACTCTATATCCAAGGAACAAACAGGAAAAGCTAGGTGTATCTTAGCCAAACTGGAGGAGCGGTGGAATAGCCTGCTGATAGGATTAAGAACAGGAACAGGAGTAGATAAAGAGGAAACAGGAAGAACTGAGCTAGAGGGAGTATGAGGGGAAGGAGGAGGAGCAAGGGGCAAAGAAGGCTGGAACCCAGGAAGTACTGATGGAGATGGGCACCACAAGCCTAGAAAAGTAAGGAAATAAATACCCAGAATCAAAAGGTCTGCCAGAGCCTCCCTTGTGGAAAGGACTCTCCTCTTTTACAAGCTAAAATTAAGATAAAGGAAATGACCTGGCCAAGACTAGAGAAAATAGAGTTCATTTAAGATACAGAGGAGCGTCCTGCCCAAGGATAAAAGGAGTAATAACTGGTAGCGAATGGAGGGAACTTTTTAGTGCTTTTCAAAATGTAACTTCAAATAGATAAATTATATGGCAGGGAAATTATCTCAATAAATTTGTTATTTTTTAAAAAGTTTGAGCTAGGCATGGTGGCTCACGCTTGTAATCTCAGCACTTTATGGGGTGAGACAGGAGAATTACTTGAGGCCAAGAGTTCAAGACTAGCCTGGGCAACATAAGGAGACTCCACCTTTACAAAAAAAAAAATTTAAAAATTAGCCGGGCATGATGGCACCTGCCTGTAGTCCCAGCTACTTGGGAGGCTGAGGTGGGAGGTTAGCTTGAGCCTGGAAGGGCAAGGCTACAGTAAGCAGTGATAGCCTACTGCACTCCAGCCTGGGCAACAGAGTGAGACCCTGTCTCAAATAAATACATAAATAAAGGCGTGTCAAGCTGGGCAACCTGTGACTACTCACAATTCCGTTAACATGATTAGTTCAGTTGTCTCCAAAAGAGTACCCCCAAATTCCCTCACTCAGTAGGTAAAGTTTACTTATGTCTGGGAACTTCTCTGTTGGAATACATCAGGAGTTTTATGAATACATAAAAAACAGTAGCGGGGAAACTGGGAGCTAGGTCTTTAAAGAAGAAGTCTTCCCTCACTTTTGCTCTTGAAATTTATTTGATAAAATTTTACATAGTGGTGTGGGGGAAGGAAGCTTTCGTCTGAAAGATCAGATTTCTTCAGCAGATGATCTAGGGCCAAAATCTACCTAGTCAAAGAGAAAACGATCTGGGGTACAAAAGTCACGTCAGTTCTGGACAGACCCCAGAACGTTTATCATAAAATGATCACAGAAGATCTTTCTCTTTGCTACCCCCAAATTGGACTGTACGCCCCGTGTCACTTCAGACGGTTACTCGCGAAGACGGATGCTTTGCCATGATCCCAGAAGTTTCTGGCGAGCTGCTGACATAAATTAGAAAGCCACTCGGGGACCGACCTGGGTGAAGCTAAGCGCCACGTCCAGGGCTAGGCTCCCCCTTCATCCCTCCCAATATAGGAAAAGGGACAGAAGAGGGCAGCAGCCAAGCAGCAACGCCCAGTCAGTCGTCTTCACCCCCCTCCCCTGAGCCAGGTTTCGGGGAAACGCCCCCTAGCCCTCACGTAGGCCCATTCCCACCCGCCCCTGCCCTGGGCCCGCGACCCCAGGGAGGAGGGGACAACGGCGGCGAGCGCCCCCACCGGCAGCAGGCGCACCTCCCCGGGGGCAGCTGTCGCCGCGGCCCGCGGGGCCCGGGCCTCCCCGGGAGCAATAGGCTATCGATTCAGCTGCCTGTCGCTAGGAGCCCCGGGAGAGCGAGGCCTACACCGCCCGGCCGGAGCCCCGGCCTCGATTTCGCCACTTTCCCCAAACCAGAGGGAGAGCCCGGGGGCAACCAGGCCGGTCTGGGCGACAGGGAGGAGAAGCAGAGACCACTTGCAACAGTGGCCGCGGGAAACAGGGTGCGGGGCGCCGGGCTCCCGCCAACAAGTCTCCCGGGGACCCCCCCTACCCCCTGCCTCACAAGTTGCGCATTCAAGTTCAGGCTGGTGCCCTTTAGCCTCCACAGCCCTCGCCACTCTCCAAACCGTATTAAAAACAAGACGCAGAAGAGGCCACAACCGAACGAAGGCGATGGTGCTGGGCCCCTAAGAGTGCCAAGGGGGGCGGCCCACCGCGGCCCTACCGTCGCCAGTCACCTCCCCTCTGCAGACCCCGCCAGCCCCCAGGTCGCAGCCCCCGGCCCCTCGGCGTCCGGGTCTGTCACCGCCCGCTTTCCAGCCCCAAGACCCCTTTTCCTTGACGCCGGCGACGGGAGCTGCAGCTCCCCCTTGCCTCCGGCGCTCCTCGGCCTCCTCCCCCTCCACATCCCCAAAATGCCCCCAGCACCTTTTAAAGTACGCGGAGGAAGAGTTTGCCGTCAAACTTTGTCGAGCGGTAACCTCGCCCCCCTCCCCGACCCACACTTTCGGGGCAGGCATCAGAAGAGATCACTTTGCACTTGGGATAAAGCGAATTAAGGAGCTGTCAACCATTTTAGGTCTTTTTTATAGAAGACATCCTCTCCTTCCCCTCCCCCTGCAATGGTTTTAATTTGACACCAAACCTTCCTACCGCAGAAGGGGGTTGAGAAAGGGAGGGGGTGGGGACAGAGGGCAGGAGGAGGGTGGCGGGGGAGAGCGAGAGGGGGAGGCTGGGAGGGTGCGGGGAGGGGAAGGGGGTTGATTTACCTGAGACCAGCCACTGGCCTCCATTGTTGGAGAATTCAATGGCATTGACACAGCCGAAGTGGCCGAGGAGGTCCTTCTTGTAGAGGTTTCTGCAGCCCCGCAGGCGTCTCCTCTGAAAGTCCTGAGTGAGCAGGGGGTCCCCATGCAAGCCCCGCTGGGACAAGAAGCCCACCACTGACCTCATGCTGCCCCCCAGGCCAGTTCTCCTCTTCATGCTGGAACCGCCGCCGCCGCCGCTCGCGCCGCCGCCCCTCCCTCGGCCTCACGCGCGGCCGCCGCTCCCCCCACCCGGCCCTCCCCCCGCGCTGCGATCCGGATGGTTCTTTAACCAGCCATGGCAGGCAGAACGAGGTGTGCAGACACTCGGCGGCGTTCGCGGCTTCCTGACGGTCCCCTCCCTCTCCTTCCCCCCGAGGCTCCTCCCTCTGCTTCTCCGCCTCCTCCAGCAGCTGATCTTCAGCTGCTGCCGCGCTTCCGCGATGCGCGGCCCTTCCGCCGGCCGCGGGGCCCCGAGAACGCGGCGTCGGCGCCCCTCCCCCTTGCGGGGGGCTGGCCGGAAGAACGCGGGCTGCCGGCCGGGAGACCACGGGCCCCTGCTGCTTTCGCCGTTGAGCCGCTTCCCACGCGGGGATTCGGGTGGCGCCGGGCAGAGACACCGCTGCACCCCAGCGCCTCGCACTCCGCGGAGTTGAATGCGCGTAACAATCCGGGTGGCCGCTGGGCTTCGGCTCGCCCTCCTCCCGCGGGAATCCGCGGGCCGGCGGCTGCCCGGAGGCCAGCGCCCGTGCGAGTTCGGGGGAAATGCGGCTGGAGTGGGGGAAGGTGCGAATGGGGGCTCCGGTCCTCCTTCCTCTGCTGGCCTCTGCCTTGGGCAGTCCGGCCCTGCCCGAGGCGGGGGAACCGGGAGTTAGGGCTGCACACTTGGAGGAAGGTTGCCAGGGGGTTTTGTTCGCGCACCCGGCCCTTCCCCTGTCCCGGTAAATGTTTAACACCACCGCTCCTCCCCAAGTCCAGTTCTCTAACTCTCTCTTCCTCCGATCCTTCAGTAGAAAAAGGCTAAATTGTTCCGTCTGGCAGATTAAAGAGTGGTACATGGGGGGAAAGAGAAAGGGAGAAAGGGATAAAGAAGTGGGAAGAAAATTGCCAAAACCGAGTTGTTGAAGTCCCGAGAAGCACGAGGTACTTCTCTCCGTTCCAGATAAATTTGCAGGACACAAGAAGCGTGATTTGAAACTAACGATATATGTTATTTAATTGGGTGCGGTGAGCTCCTCTTAAAGGTCTCGAGTCGGGAGCGCTGAGGTTGGACAGCTGTTAACCAGCAGCTGCGCTCCAGGCCAGAAGTGGCTGCACTTCAGTAGGATGGGAGTCACCGCGTTGACCCTAGTGGGTGTTAAGTGCTTTGGAATTCTACCAGATACAGTTAAAACTCCCCTTTTCGATGTATTATAGTACTTTTCCTGGAAGCTATCCTCTGTCATTAAGTGGTAATAAGCTACTGAAATAGGCACTTGTCAGTTTTGCCCTTTCAAGTTAGCAGGAATTACATCCTCTGGACCAGAGGTGGCAGAGGAGCAGTTGAGTAGAATCATCATTGAACGATGTGCTGTACATCTCTGATCTGGGGAAGATGATAATAATTTTTTTTTTAAAAAAAAGGATCGGCTGAACATGGAAGAGGTTTACCCGTCAAGCAAAATTAACTTCTACTTTTTGTTCAGTGACAATAAGATTAATCGTACTAATAACAAATATGCAAGTGTTTCATATAAAAGTACATATCCTAGCAAGCATTACTAAACAGAAACCAAATTCCATCAGAATTTGTGGAAAAGGGCAAAAAAAATTTTTAAAGAAAAATCAAATTCCTAAAATGTGAATTTTAACGGAATATTGTTCCCCTAAATAGGAAACTATGTAGGATGCCTTCTAATAATCCTTTATGTTTATTCATTATAATAACCACCTGAAAATTAGTAGCAGTATACCAGCTTTGTTAAAGATGTATAGCACCAAACATCCTTTTGTCATAGAAATGTCAAAATGTGTAATTAATCATTTATTTTTGTGATGATGTGAGTCTGCCCCACTCTGCTATAAGTTCTCCGACAGCAGGGACTACGTCTGCTCAAGGGTGTATGCCTGGAGCCAGCACTTGCTGGCACTAGTGGCCACTTTAATACTTGCTGAATTCATGAATGAACTTAGGGAGTGGGAAAGAGTTTGGAGGGAAAGGTCATGCTTTCGGGTTTGGATATGTTGAGTTTGACTTGTTTCATTCCAGTGGGATCCACTCGTTCCAAGGCCAGTTTCCCTGCTCACTGTTCCTTTGCTTGGCATCCTCAGTCCACACATTCAAAACCCTCTCTGACTTCTTCCAGTTAATAGGCCATCATTTATACCTACACTAGTTGCCTGGGGTGGGGGAGATTTGTTTGAAGTGGCCTTTACTGTGGCAGTATATAATACGTACCCTCCTCTGCCTTCTTAAGCACATACCCCCTTCTCTACAGTTTTTACTGAATTCCTGGAAAAATTGTCCCATTTACCTCAGCATAAAAATAGACCAGTGTCTGGTCACATGCCAGCCCAAATCTAGGACTTTGCTGGAAACTTCCTTAACTGTTGGGTGACCAACCGTGACAGAAAGGTAGGACCACCTAGTCTGTTTATATCCTACTGCTAGTCTGGCTAGCTTTTTATAAGCCTGAGTGAAATATCTTCCTGTTCCTATAATTAGAGTTGTCGGATAAAATGGAGGATACCCAATTTGGTGTGAATTTCAGATAAACAATGAATGTTTAAGTATACCCCATGAAACATTTGAGATATACTAATTATTGTTTATTTGAAACTCGAATTGGGCATCCTGAATTTTTTATTTGCTCAATCTGGCCACCTACTTATAACCAACTTCAAAAGATGAAACTCCATGATATCAATTTGCTTTTATTAAGAATTTAACATAGTCCCTTATGTCATTTATTGCAAACTAATAATATTGTACATAACTACATACCACAAACTTTTTTTTTCCACCACACCTGTAACAAAACTGCAATACCACAAACATTTAATCATCTTTGATGACCACATGAGCTTTGTCTTTTTCATATAGGCATTTATTGTGAAAAGGCCAGCGTACTTAGCTTTAAAATAGCAAATGAAATTACTTCTGAGTAAATTGAACCACTGCAGAGAATGTGTGAAGGAAGAGGGAGAAGAGTGAAAAACTCATAATTTTCTTACCTAAACCCAGAAATTTATGTGTATTAATGTTCATGCTCAGGAAGCCTTGAAACACTGATTTGGAAATTCATTCTGGAAAAACAAAGATATGGAAATTGCTTAACCCAAGAACTCTTAATTGCTTCACCATGGGTTGAATACTGGTCAAATGTAGAATTCCCAGAAATGTATTTACTCTTTGACTTCTATTTTGTTTGACTCCAATATTGCTGAAGAAAGAGTAAGGAATCTTTAAAAACTGATTGAATGCTAAGGAAATGCTCAAACATTAGAAACTGTGTTTTTAATATTTATTTAGAAACAGGGTGTGGCTCTGTCACCCAGGCTGGAGTGCAGTGGTATGATCTTTGCTCAGTGCAGCCTTGACCTCCCAGGCTCCAGTGATTCTCCTACCTCAGCCTCCTGAGTAGCTGGAACTACAGGCTCACACCGCCACACTCAGCTAATTTCTGTATTTTTTGTAGCTGGAGTTTCTCCATGTTGCCCAGGCTGCTCTCAAACTCCTGGGCTCAAATGATCCTCCAGCCTTCACTTACCAAAGTATGGGGATTATAGGCATGAGCCACCTAGCCTGGCTGTTTTTTTGTTTGTTTTTTTTTTTAACTGAGAAAATACTAAGCCCTTCTGAAACTTTTATTAAATCTTAGCATATTAAGTACTACATATGGACACTAATATGCTCAGAAATTTTTTATTCAAAATATTTTCAACTTTAAAATAACTAGTCATAATACGAGATGTTAATTCATGCAGAGATCAATGCCTCAAATATACATATAATTTAACTGTAACATTTATTTTTAACTTTTTAAAGACACAGTCTCTCTGTTGCCTAGACTAGAGTACAGTGGTGCAATCATAGCTCACAGCAGCATGGAACTCCTGGACTCAAGTGATCTTCCCACCTCAGCCTCCTGAGTAGTTGGGACTACACGTTTATGCCACCATGCCTGGCTAATTTTTTAAAAAATGTTTTACCATTTTGTCGCCCAGGCTGATCTTGAACTCCTGGCTTCAAGCTATCCTCCTTGTCCTCCCAAAGTGCTGTGACTACAGGCATGAGCCACCTCGGCCTGCCAACATTTAAATTTTAAAAGGTAAATTATTTATTGATCATCTCAAATAGACAACGGTCACTTTTAATGTTGGGGAGAAAAGAAACTGATGTACTTAAATTCGTATTCTTCCAACAAGATCCATAGGACATATATCTTTTTATTTTTTAATAACTTTATTGAGATACAATTGACATAAAATTCATGCTTTTAAAGTGTACAATTCAGTGGTTGTTAATGTATGCACAAAGTGGTATAACCATGAACATCTAATTCCAGAACATTTCACCGCTCCAAAAAAGAAACCCCATATACATTAGCAGTCGCTGACCATTCCTCCCTCCCCTCAGCTGCTGACAACCTCTAATCTAATTGCTATCTTGATGGATTTGCCTATTCTGCTTTTCTTTTTTTTTTTTTTGAGACAGAGTCTGGCTCTGTAGCCCAGGCTGGAGTACAGTGGCATGCTCTCAGCTCAGTGCAACCTCCACCTCCCAGGTTCAAGCAATTCTCCTGTCTCAGCCTCCCCAGTAGCTGGGATTACAGGCGTGCACTGACACCCAGCTAATTTTTTTATATTTTTGGTAGAAATGGGGTTTCACCACATTGGTTAGGGTGGTCTCAAACTCCTGACCTCAAGTGATCTACTTGCCTCAGCCTCCCAAAGTGCTGGGATTACAGGCATGGGCCACCACGCCTGGCATATTCTGCATATTTCATAGGAGTGAAATCATACAATATATGTGGTCTTTGTATCTGGCTTCTTTCACTTAGCATAATATTTTCTTTTTTCTTTTTCTTTTTTTTTTTTTTGAGACAGAGTCTCGCTCTGTAGCCTGGGCTGGAGTGCAGTGGCCGGATCTCAGCCCACTGCAAGCTCCGCCTCCCGGGTTTACGCCATTCTCCTGCCTCAGCCTCCTGAGTAGCTGAGACTACAGGTGCCCGCCACCTCGCCCAGCTATTTTTTTTTTCTTTTTTTGTATTTTTTAGTAGTGACGGGGTTTCACCATGTTAGCCAGGATGGTCTCGATCTCCTGACCTTGTGATCCGCCCATCTTGGCCTCCCAAAGTGCTGGGATTACAGGTTTGAGCCACTGTGCCCAGCCTGCATAATATTTTCAAGGTACTCCATTATTTTTTTACACCAAATAGTATTCCACTATATGGATATACCACATTTTGTTTTATCTGTTCATTAGTTGATGGGCTTTTGGACTGCTTCCAATTTTTGGCTATTATGAATAATAATACAACTATTAACGTGTGTACAACTTTTTTGTGGGCATACGTTTTTATTTCTCTTGGGTATTTTATGTAGTAGGACAATTTTGGGGTTATATGGTAACTTTATGTT